GATTTATGATGCATACGAAGAAGAACTTCAATAAATAATTGAAACCACATAAAGATAGCATTTCGAGCTTGAAGAGATTGAGAACCAGAAGTAATGACTGATATTGAAGCACTATCTTCTACTTTATTTCGACTAATTTGATCTTTCGATATTTTAGCAACAAGTTTACCACGTTCAACAAAAACACCATTGACCTGAAATATTTAGATGAGAAAATAAATAATAAGAATTCAATCGTTATAGAGTTTTTAACTTTGTGATATTTATTAGCCCATTGTTCATTTGCTTTTTGATCTTGACAAAATACATAACATGCAGAAAACTGTGGAAGATCATGGAGTCGAGGTACGATTTGTTGACCTAATGAACCTGATACAATGAGAACAACTTTTTCTTTTGTAATGTTTCGAATGTATTGTTCACATTCATCGATATTATCAAATGTTCGAAGATGATTGATCACTTGACGAAGTTCTTTCTGTGTTTGAAGATTATCTTGCGTTAAATTCACATTTTGATCTAGCCATAAACATGTAAATGATTCTAAATTAGAATTCATTGATTGCTCAACAGATTTCGATGAACTTGATATTTTAGTCGATTGGTTTTTGCTGGTAGCCATTAGAATGAGAGAAAGGTACGTGAAAAAATAAAGTCTTGATTGTATTCTTTTTTTGACTTTTCTTTTAACTATGAAACGAAATAACGTTGGATGTGTTTGCTTAAATTTACTCTCGAATGAAGTATGTTTCGTCTTTTCTCTTGCACAACAGTCGAAAAAATATTCTCCATACAGACGTCGACTATGTTGACACGAGCCATGTGAGCAATAACAATAACAATCGATAGCTCTTCCGAGGAAGAAGAAGAGAGTAACAATCAAGGCCAATCCTAAAAATCGAAATTTTCATAAAGCGTAGGTCATCGATAGCAACACATAATTTTTATGTGACCACTGGTCTGCTCAAGAAATAGATAATGAACAGCTAATCTTATATCAAGACTGTTTTCAAGAAAGCATGGATATTATAAGTTATTATTTCGAGAAAATATTGAAAACTGATTATATAAATGAAGCAGAAAAAATGCATAAAATGAAAAATATTTCAACGAGGAGAACATACAATTAGACATTCTGTTGTAGCACATATAAACGATAGTTCATCAGGGTGTAGGTATGGACGACAGAATT